ATATATATATATATATATATATATATATATACTTTTTGTGATATTTGCAAAGAGCTCTTCATTCCTAGTTCACATCAATACAAACATGTTTAATTAAACTGAGAGTATGGATTTGGAGTAATTTCTTTTGATTGCGCTCATTTTAAAATTGTTTTGTGGTCACAGAGCTTGAATTTTTTTTATTCCATTTAGTTGGGCATTCAAGCTCCGACTCAAAATATGAGACTTATGAAGGTAGTGTGGTCCACTTGAGGATCTTGATGAATTTGAGTTTAAATTTTCACTCTTTTTTTGAAAAAAAATCATATCTATTTAGATTTATTGTACACTTTTTGAAGCAAGGCAATTAGATTTATTTAGTCCTTTTTAGAATGTGCTGTACCCATTTAGGTCTTTTTAGTATTTGCGGTGCTCTCTAACTTTACGTTAAATAGTTTATCATATTTATCTGAGTACATGTTGATGAATTGGCTTGTAACGTGATTGCATCATTTCCAATGCTCTTGTTAGATGCATTCGCATGATTTTTGGTGCACCTACATAATCACTTTGCGCTATTTTTTGTGCTTATATGATGCTTTTGCACGATTTTCGGTACACCTTGATACATTTGCAGTTTTTTGAAATATAATTGAATTTTAAAATTATCTAGTGTAGTGTGTGCATGACTTAAAAGTTGAAATATTTTATTTTTGTTGTTTTTTTATGTGCCTGAATATTTTGTTATTGGGATGCATGCAATATGTGTTTGGTTTTCTTTAAGACAGTCTTCTATTCACTTGCATATATGTGTTACTGGTTCTTAATATGTGTTGCTTGCATATATGTCTTACTGATTCAACAGTAAGGGTTATGAATTAGAATCTTTTTCTGTCTCAAAATATCAAGGTTCCTTCATATATGCTTTTATTTTTATTTGCTGGGCCCCATAGAGATTCTTTTATTTTTCATAAACAAGAGTTTTTTAGTTTATTTCATTATTTTAATTCCAATTCAGTTTTTAAGGCTGTGAGTGTTCAAAGAGTTGTATGTCGTCTCTGTTCAAGCTGCCACGCTGCCCTTCAG